TTCAAAAAATCTACATTTTAACCAACTTACATGATATCTATATATGTGACTTTATCACATGAAAGTTTATAGTGCATTTCATCAATTAATAAATAAATGTGAAAATCGTAATTTTCAACACAAATAATAGTCTTGCTACTTAAAGAGCATTCAAGGTATCAAGACCATGTGAGGAAAACATACTTACCAACGCTACCCAAAGTAGATAATATTCACTGACTGGTGTATCAAAATACTGATTAAAAAATAACAATCCTGGAGCAATCAAAGCAGTGTCCAGGAAATACATTTCACTCTTCGTCATATGAGCAACCTGATAGAAACAGCAATGAATGATAACAAACAAACAAACAAACATACCTGGATGAGATGCATGGTAAGCTGTCAGTTGCAGCTGATGTTAGATCTAGAACAGTAAAACCTACACTGAGATGAATTTTAATTCAGTATTACTAAATCACAACAACTTTCAGATAAAGCACCACAGTCATCACAAAGCTAGTGTCTTGTTGAAACATACATGTATTTTACTCATGTTGTGAATGACACAAGACTGGTATCCCAACATTAGCTGTCACCATGACAACTATGGCACTTTAATCAACTTGATAGATAAATGGTAAAGATTAATTTTGAACCTGAGACATCAATATTTGTTTGATTTCTTCAATTCTCACATATCAATCTCTTGGATCTTATAAATCATTGCTTTCATCAAAGGGATTTTTCAACAACAAATTTCTTAATTATTAATTAGTTGTAGTTGTTTCAACATTCAATATTGATACAATTACGGTTATTTTCTACATTCCATAACAAATATTAATGATTTCCCAGAATTTAATTTAGTAACATAAATTAATAATGATTAATTAAATATTTAACCTGATTAAGCAGCAAGGATCTGGATATTAATCATAAAATACAACTTACCACAAGCTTGTTGGTGACTTTTGAAGCCACAATACCGAAGAATAGAAGATATAAACAAGTATTATTTTCATAAAGATGACTTGGTGATTTGGCCATAATCATTATTTGTAATAATAAGACAACGCCTATATGTATAACAGGTGCTATTGTACTTGTACCCTGCCAACAAAAATAACAAGTTTACATTAATATACTTTCCTTATAATACTTTATATTACTACAAGAACAAACAAGACATGAATGCCACACTCCCCATCATTTGCTTATAAAATACTCAAGTTAAAAAAATACATGGAACATCTGTAAACAGGTGAATTAATATGTACCGGTACTCTAGGTTGGTACAACTCATCATAAAGCGATTTCCCTTAATCTAGTATTGTACTGAAAACTTCCATTGACCCAGGTTCAAAATCTCAGAGTACACAAGTGTAACCAAACTATGTCTCATACATGTACATGTATACATGCTCAAGAAACTGCATTCATAAATCTGAGTAAACCTTGATGTACCTTTAATAACAACTTGACTTCTTTGTTAATTACCGGGACCTGGGTTTGTTTCAGTATCACCAGTATATTTCCTATCAAAATGTACCCCTGACCCCCTCTACAGTTTCCACTGAAATTCGTAATGGTACGACCCATTTATCCACTCCGCTGAAAACTGAAGCTACCTGTATATTTAGACCACATGTGTTGATATGCCTGACCAAGATTTATAAACAGTAACTGCACAGTCTTTTCACTGATCTTCAACTTTGTGACATGGTATTTCAGTGATGGCTCTTTATAATGGAATGCATATTTTACAGTTTGAAGATATAATATACAACAACATTTCTGACCACTTTTTTCAAGATTTCAGTGTTAACAAAAAACGAGACTGTAGTCCATTTCTGTCACTGATTCAGATCAAGGTCATGACATCACTAAAAACCCTAGCATTACATCTAACCTAATTATTTATTCTGAGCATGCTCATTTGTTTTTTGGATGAATAGACCCACTTAGGATTTTCAGATCTGAAAAAAAAATTATGTGCATATTCAACAGAGACTTGTTCATCAACCTGCCAAGTTTCATTGATATCTGCTGTCGAATTTCTGAGAAAATGTTGGAGATGTAAAGAAAGGTGGAGGAACAGAAAGCAGAAATTAGAAACTATAGTCTACCTTTCAGTCTGCGCCTGAACGGGTACTAAAAATGGTGAGGGTTGTCACAACGTTGGTACCACACACACACACACACACACACACACACACGCACACACACACACACACTGATTGTGATTTTAAGGGCAATCTTAGCCGAACGGATCACCCACAATTGTTAACCTGATGAGAAGCTTTCCCATATTGATACTCAGTGATAATACTCATAGTGAGTATGAGAAGTAGGAATTCAGCTAGAAAATTATTTAATTGTGAATAGTAACTATAACTATCTGAAAAAAGTATTGGACAGGCTAATAAATAATAAACCACATACCGCCACAGTTGAACCATTTTTACCAATTCCTCCACTAAGTATGGCACTAAAATGCATGAATCCTGACATAACGGCAGCCATGGATGAACCCAATACTGCCACATGCTTCAACTCAAGCCCCAGAACAGGAATCTTTGGAGAAACAAGCCATGCATGGCACAGTTTCCGTTAGTTATCAAATTTAAGATATATAGTTTTGTTTATACTAATATAGCTGGAATATAACCATGTCAGGAATATGATTTTTTAACATTAAAATGATTGACATTTGTATCTGATCGTCAAACAAGTACTTGTCCATATTGAGAGATATTGCTCTGGAACAGCATTCAAAATCAGCCATTTTGAATACATGTATATATATAACATGATGTATAACGAATATAAACAAGCAGCCTATCGGCTGAGATAGCTCCGCTGTTAGCAATGCACATTTCAATTAAAGAACTGAAGATATCATTAGAAAATGAACAATATGTATAGTATCAAAGCAATCGGACTTGCAGTTTTTAACAAGAAGTCAAAAATATCACTTTTTACCAAAAATAT